ATTCCCCAGCCAGCATGCTGGCTGGGGAATTCTGGGAGTTGAAGTCCACACATCTTGAAGTGGCCAAGGTTGAGAAACACTTTCACATGGTCTCCCTTTTTACACAAACACACCCATTCCTGTTAGTCAGACACAACATTCTCATTCTTTCAAAATGCTGGTCTCACACTCCTCATTTATAGATTCTCAACCCTTGAAGTGACATAACTACATCTGAATTCCCTTTTTCTTCCACCCTGAAGCCGTCACGCTGATTCACGTGCTGCCTATCTCGCTCCGTCAGCAAAGGCCTCTGGTTGGTTAGCCAAATAAAGGTGAAGGCCGTGAAACAGACGAGGGTGCAACAGGTACGATATAAAGCAGTTGTAAGATGAGCACAAATGAAAAGTCACTGCAATATTAGCCAAATAAAATGGGCACCAATGAGCACCTCTTTCCAGAAGTTGTCCCCCCCCCCCCCCCGTTTTTACCTGCCATGAAAATTAGCAGTGATGCTTTCTCTGCGGGATTATCAATTTTTCTTATTTTAAAAAAAGCACGAAAGATGTAAACAGTCAGTGGGAAACAGAGAGTTGGCCAAGCCGCTCATTTAGAAGTAATTACCAGAATTTAAATGTCACAGAAAGCAAATAACTCCAAATACATCTTTACATTAGTATGTATGTTCTCATTTCTTTCTCTCCTTGAGTTGGCCAAGCCGCTCATTTAGAAGTAATTACCAGAATTTAAATGTCACAGAAAGCAAATAACTCCAAATACATCTTTACATTAGTATGTATGTTCTCATTTCTTTCTCTCCTTTCTTCCTCATCCTCTTTGGCAACGATTTCTTCCTATTCCTTGTTGCTTTGCTTCTCAGCAGCTGCTTTACTCTTTGATAGCTCTTTTCCCTTCCTGTGCAAAGGCCTATATATATGGTGCAGTTTTGGTGCTGCTGAAACTAACTTGTTTCTTAACCTGATGTAGAGTTGCATGCTAGCAACTTTCCCCCCCACAAAGCTAGCCATGCATACTTAAAGAAATGTCTTGTTTCTTTCCAGTTCCTGCTTTAAGCGTCACACAGTGCAGCATTGGAAGAAAGCTGGAGGCCCCAGGAACATGCTTTCTTCTGGATTGGTCTCTGTAAAGCCCTCCACAAATGCATGGAGCAGAGGTCAGCCCCTATAATTTCTCAAATAAATTTCCTCTAAGGATTGCAATGTTGTATTACAGCAACATTTCCCCTCTCTTTAAAATTTGAAGAAAAATGAGAAGTTGTAGGGAAAACTCATATGTTAAGGAAGAGTTTTCTTTGCAAAAATGCAGAAGTAGAGAGCTACTGCCTTTTAGATTCTTTTTGGGGGTGATATTCTTTTCATTTTCCAGTCAGGCCTACCACCTTGAGATCTCCTGATGGTGTCCCATCAAATATTGACTATGGAATTCTTACCCTGGAGAAAAGAGGGGTTGGTGAAGAGAGCAGAGGGACAAGCTAGATGTAACAAAAGGAGAAAAATGTTCTGTTCAGATGTTTGCACAGATGGGAGGAATAGGAGATCAAATGTACATGGGCCACCAGTTGGCAAGAGAGATGTTTTTCTTCCTCATCTATCTTACTTTTGTGCATTTTTTCTACTGCTAACCCGTCACCCAGTTTCTATACTAGAAAAGACAACCACAGATACCCACAAGTGTGCATCCCCACCCCCCACTCCAAATATTATGGGATAGAGGCAGAAATATGTAAAGCACTGTACATTTCAAGGAAAAAACTTTATAAAAGAGCAATCATGACATGTTTCATCTTAGGATGGAACACGTATTTTATCTCAAGTAATCTCTGTTGATTTTCATGGAGATAACTTACAAGCAAGTTATGTTCAGGATTGTTTCAGGACAGAGTATCAGTGAAAGGGTGAGAAGTGAATTACCTGCTAGTAGTGCATATGCCCCCTCCCCAAAAAAGACCTTTCTGTAAGAGTGAAATAAAGATCTTTTTGTTTAAAATTTTGCTCCCAGGCATTTGGAGAGTCATCCCTTGTTTTAATACAGCGCTGATTCCCTTGTAAAGCTTTTTCCAGCTTTAGTTTCTAGATTAATGACAAGAATCTCTGCATAATGCACAATATTCCTTTGTGATTCACTCACCTAAGGCAGATTTTCCAATTTTCTGTAGTTTTACCACCACTTGCTGTATAGCCATGATGCTGGTGTCCTTCTGGCTATACAACAGCAAGCGCTTGGCATCCGAGAACAACCGGTAAACACTGAAGAAATGAGGCCAAGAGCAGGAAAAAAGAAACAAAAGAGGAAAGTTATTAGTCATCATGAGAGGCACAGCTTCAAACAGCCCCCATATGGATCCTAAAAGATTTCTGTATCCACATCTACTTTGTGCAAGCCCCGCTGACATTATTGGGAGCTATTCTACCACGTGAACACTACCATCCTCCCACAAGCTCTTGTTTATAAATTGTATCTAAGTTTTGTTTCTGAGCGGAGAGAACCACCAATTAACTGCATTGGCTTGATTTGCAAAATGAGCCAGGAGGAGACATGGTTGGCTAGTTGGTGATTCAGCGTGTCACACAAATACAGCCATTCCCTCAGTTCCCTAAGAGGAGATAAGCAACATGTCTGAACTCCAGGCCCACCTGGAGAACGCGAGCAGAGGGAATAGCCATTTGAAGCTACAAGCAAGGACCTGCAGGATGAAGGCATTGGATGCCAGGGAAGAAAACCTCCTTGAAGTCTTTATGATTAGACAATGGTCTCTCATACCCAGTAAGCTTATGGGGTAGAGAGTAAGAAAGATGACTTTGATGGAAATATACAGGAACCCGTTACCTAAGCAAAAGGGGCTGAAGCATTTTTTAAGTCCAGAACAATGAGATAACATTCAGAAGTGGTTCAGGCAGACACCTCCCTTAGTCACTGAACTATAAGAAGGAGGAGGAGGTACACACTTGCAAGATTGTTATTATAGCCAGTCCCAATAAAAGTAGTTTTAGCCCTCCTGTAGCATTGATTTCCTGGTCTGGTCTACCTAGTGGGGCTGATAAACAATAAGCAGCCATCTCTCCCTATACAAAGGACAACACAGGCCCCAAAGTATCTGTGTAGCCCTCAACTGTCAAGGCGTTTTGCAAAGGATGTGCTAAGTAGGTGGGAATTTGCTTGCTTTCAACATGATAGTTTGCCTTGCATTATATTTTCCCCCTGGTAACCACCCGCTAACACTCCTCATTTGTGTTAGAGGACAAAGTCTTCCCTTGAGTACAGCAAAGAATAGCCTGTACCCTTGATAATGCACTGCTGTTCTGTCTCAATCCTCTTCTTCACATTTGCCCCCTAACACTTTGACAGGCCAAAATTTAATAAATAGCGAATACTTACATAGATTTATTAAAATTCCCAACAATGCCCGGTGTCTCCCCAGGTGTCGGGAAACGAAAGCAAGGATTGTTGGCATTACAGATAATCCCCTGGACCCAGGGCAATGTTCCAGCTGAAGGCATAGCCTTGTTTGGAAAATGACCTAAAAATATGAGGACAGATATTTAGGACATTGCATGAAGTCATCCTTAAAACTTCTCTGTTCTAAAGTTATACCTCCCACCCCCCCCAAGCTTTGTCTCCAGACTCATATGATGCAGGACAACAAGAAGCAATTGTTTCTAATATCTGCAGCAAACAGGCAAGTTGTGAAAGGGCAAAGAGGAGTAAAAGACAACAAGGCTTTTGTACCATGTATTAGTTTGTTAGAGTTATATCCCACTTTTCCTCCAGGTGATCAAAGCAGCATACATAGACTTCCTTTCCCAATTTTTTTCTCAGTAACAACCACCACCATCTGAGATGGATTGGGAGAGGTGATTGAGAGGTGATTGGCCTAGTCACCCAGTGAGTTTCCATGGTTAAGGGTGGACTTCAGCCTAGGTCTTTCTGGCTTCAGTCCGACACCTTCACTGACTTACTACATTGACATTAAAAGTTATGCAAGAGAGATTTCAGCAGGCCTCATCATCTCTGTTGAAATCCCCTCTATGTAACTAATCAGTGAAGTTTAAATTATTAGGGAGAAATATACCACACGGTCATTATTAAGAAAAAAAGGAAATCCTGTTTGAGTAGAGATAACTAGGAATACACTGAAGATGTTTCTGTAGTTCGGAAATTGAATCCCATTCTCAACATTTTTTCAGCTCTCCAAAAAAAACTGGTTGGTTTGATGTGAATCAACTGCATTATCACCCAGCAAATTATGGACATTTTCAATCTCTGATATACAATATGCAGCTTACTGTTGAACCCTGCATTGCGTTCTTTCTTTTTTCAGATATCAACCCAGCAGTCAAGTATGTATGTATGTATGTACGTATGTATGTTGAATTGAATTCAATGAGTTTTACTTCAGAGTATACATATACAACAGTTTAAGAAGGACAGTTAAATATTTCACATTGTTCTATATCTACGACTCATCTGCTGTTGAAGGATTAATGTATTATTTGCCAACAGGTCATATCAATAAAAACATCCAATAAGATTGCTACAGAAAATAACCCAACTCTAGCATTTAAATCATATATGTAAGCGCGAAAGAGATCATTTTAAAGCAGTGGTTCTCAAAATGTGGTCTGGAGACCCCTGGGGATCCCCGAGACTCTTTCGGGGGATCTGCAAAGACAAATAAATAAATATTTTAAAATTTCTCAGTTTTCCCCATTTGTTGTATGTTTTTTTTTCACTTTTTTGTTAAACCACTTTTAAGATTTTTTTCCCTCCTTTTTGTAATCAAATTTTTTTAAAAAAAATCTCAAGTTTTAATTTCTAATGCAGTAAATATTGATAGATATAACCCACATAAACCAAAGCTCTTTGGGGTCCTCAATCATTT